ACACACACAATCAAAAATCGTAAACATATTAGGCTAAATTTATGTCTAATAAAATTTTTTAAGTAGTTCACTTTTTTACACCCTCTGTATAAGGAAGCGATAAGGATTAACAACATCACCTAACTATTTGCAATGTTCAAAAAATAAAAACGTGTATAGCGACGACTTTACTGCCATTTTTGAATTTAAAATGGAAGGCCTTCGAGTTTTTTCAAGTGAAAGAGATAAAAGTAAAAAATTAAAAACCATGGTCGCAAAAATTTAAAAAATTTATGTTTGCAGTAAAATTCAAAATTGCAGTTTACAGCCTGCAATTTCTCTGCACCTAGTTTAAACCACTGACCTGTATACTCATTACTTGGACGGGAAATACACATCCAAATTACTATATTTAATTAACGAGCGGCCGGGTATCAAAAACATGGATGCCGTCATACCAAATACAGCAAATTTTGGGTGAAAAATGACGTTGCCTCATTCAATGAAAAGTTTTGAACTCCCCCGGAATAATTTTAAATTTCATGTTTTTATTGCGCCGTCGTAACTCGTAACAGCAAGTCTTATATTTCAAAACTTTCGTTCTAAAATGCCAAAATATTGTGCGGTACCTAGGTGCCAAAATAGTACAGCAAATAAAAAGTTTTCAATGCACCGATAAGAAAGAAAGAATATAATTTTTATGAATGTACTTATTGCTTAACAATTCAGTGCCGTCACTTTTTTACAGTTACATTTTCGTTTTTTTGCAATCGCTTTTTTCACTTCATTTTCTTTAATATTTTTCTCATTTGAATTTACCTTTTATCATTACAGTTGATGCTTATAGTCGATGGTTTATATTTGGTGTTTATCAATGATTTTCACCACCACTCTTCTTTATTTCAAAACTTTCTTTAGCAGGCGAAAAAGTAGCAGAAGCTCGTTTTGTTTGATAACAAATTAACATGACAATCAAAACAAAACAATTTGTGTTGAGGTTATTATATTAGTAAAATTTGTAGTCCTGTAACAAAGAAAAAATACAAAACGAAAACTCAATGAATCGTGTAATAAATCCTTTATTTTCATTTTTTATGGTTTATCAACAATTTATATAACACAAAACTTATAAAAATATCACCATTACCTTTACTTGCGGTATAGTAAAAAACTGCATAATAATATAATTGGAAAATATCAAGCTAGTTATTTAGGTGCAACAATTCTCAGCAAAAATAAAGAAAGTTGAGCCTAGAATCTAGATGGCTGAAAAAGAAAGTAGACGACACGACTGTCATATAATGAGCAATCGGGATTCAGCAAAATAAGCCAAAAATCAACAAAACTCCAAAGTCATTACCTTTTTCGTCGTATGAATACGTGTCCATCATCTCCGGAATTTTGCACTGATTCGATAAACAAAACAAAAACTTCGAAGCCGCGTTTCGTAATAAAAAGAACTTGACCACCAGCCCCCCCAAAAATTCTCTTTTAAAGTATGGCAAGCCAAACCTACCAAAAGTGTATCGAGATTTATAAGTCGTATTAGAATTACTATAAGTCTATTCGAGATTCGTAAAGTGGTACTCGAGATTACTATAATGCGGTGTGAAAACTATATTATTATTGTTGAGTTGTGTATGACGAGATTTATATGACGAGTTTTATATGACGAGTTTCATATGACGAGTTTTATATGACGAGTTTCATATGACGAGTTTTATATGACGAGTTTCATATGACGAGATTTATAAGACGAGTTTTATATGACGAGTTTCATATGACGAGATTTATAAGACGAGTTTTATATGACGAGTTTCATATGACGAGTTTTATATGACGAGTTTCATATGACGAGATTTATAAGACGAGTTTTTTTTATAAACTGTAACAGTGTAACGAGATTTATAAGAGGTCACGAGTTGTTTACAAACTGTAACGAGATTTCCCAAGATGGCGTCCGCTAGTAATGCAACTTATTTCGAAGCAAATGAAGAACTTACTGAATTTTTCCAAATGTTGGATGCATTGTTTAGCCATTTAGAAATTGCTATAGTACTTAATGATACTCTTGATTTGGAACATTGTAAATGCAAGTTAGAACGAAATCTTCCAATTGTTACAGCAATGCTCGTGGCCGTTAACAATGAAAGATATGACGACACGATAGACTTACTATCACCTCAGCCCTCATTTGTCTCGCTGTTGGAAAGATTAAGTGTTGGAATAGAAGAGGAAATACGCAGGCTAAGAGCGATCTTGGATTACACGTCTCCTGAGAATAGAAGAGAAGTTATTTCATTCCGGTCAAGTACGGGAGGGAGGCCTTGTTTTGATATAACCAAAGTACAGATAGAGCAATTACGAGATACCGGAATGAAATGGAAAAGTATAGCTAGCTTCCTAGGTGTATCAGAACAAACAATTTACCGGAGAAGGATTGAATATGGAGTTGAGGCTAGCTTTACAGACATCACCGATGATAGTTTAGATGGGCAGATAAGAGATATTTTAAGGCTTACCCCATATAGTGGAGAATGTTATATCAGGGGTAGTTTAAGGGCTAGAAAGATCTATGTCCAAAGAGAAAGGGTCAGAGAAAGTCTTCGGAGAATCGATACTATTGGAAGAAATATGCGAAGGAGGTATGCGATTTGTAGACGGGTTTATAACGTTCCCGGGCCGAATTTTCTTTGGCATATTGACTCAAACCATAAGCTTATATCCTGGCGATTCGTTATCCATGGTTGCATCGACGGGTTTAGTCGGGCAGTCATTTACCTAGAGTGCTGCGCTGATAATAGAGCTCAGACAGTAGTTGATCTTTTCAAAAAAGGGATTGGTGAATTCGGTTTGCCTTCAAGGGTTCGTGGAGATCGAGGTGTCGAAAACGTTGACGTAGCACGGCTAATGATATCACGTCGTGGTGAGAATAGAGGTAGTTTCATTGCCGGGCGAAGTGTGCATAACCAAAGGATAGAACGGTTGTGGGCAGAAGTAAACCGGGTTCTTTCTGCTCTATACGTTGGTGTCTTTAAATTCATGGAAAACGAAAACCTGTTAGATCCGTTCAATGAGCATCATCTATTCGCCCTTCACTTCGTTTTCAAACCACGTGTAAGTGCGTCACTTTCGGAATTCAGGGAGCAATGGAACCATCATGGACTAAGGACTGCCGGTCACCAAACCCCATGACACTTTGGCAAACGAACATGATTCCTGTTGCAGATGAATCTCCTATTGTTAACTTTGAAGAATATGGTCTAGATTCAAATGGCCCAGTTCCAGACGTCGATACAGATAATTATGTTGTGGTACCTGAAAACATACTGCAGCTGACGGAAGAACAACTGGAGCTTCTATGTAGTGAAGTCAACCCTTAAGCGATGACGGCAATTATGGAATCAATCACTTCATACAAACACTTGATATTGTCAACACATTTTATGTTCAGTGATTGAACTAATTTATGATCAAAAATCGAGGTAAATAACAAATATAAATAGAGGATGCATCGATCATATACTTGAAGCAATGTCAGCAATGTTACCGCGTGTGAATGTGCATTAATTATTTAGGTTAGCACTATTTTCCACCCAGCAAACCGTCCTTTACTTTGAAATATAATATTTTACACAATATAATATTTTACACAATCTAATATTTTACACAATATAATATTTTATGTAATATTTTACACAATCGTCGAAAACGACATATTTTCCAGCCTGGATTATAAGTTTATAGCTTAAGGTGGTTGCATGAAAATTTATACTGCAACATTTATCTGTAAATATTTTCATATTTTGATATTAAAACTGTATTATAAAATATAAAATTACTCGCCATCTCAAAACGACCTAGCACCAGTGCATGCATGGTTTCCTTTTAGCTTTTGGTTCTTTCCCATTAGCCGCCATCTTTAATTTATTTCCGATTGTGTAAAGGGCGGTTTGCTGGGTGGAAAATAGTGCTAACCAATTATTTACTAGCTACCTTAAAATGAAAATGGGTGCGATAAGGTCCTATCACATTTAACCATATCGCGATTATTGTAAGTAAAGCTTCCAAACAAAATAAAGAATAAATAAGTTTGTTCCTTTAAACGACTTCATCATAATTTGTACAGTTGGATCGTAGATATATCTCTGATCGTCCGTACATATCAATAGTGTACAAATTATAAGTCGAACGATTTTAATAAAATTTCAATCAAACGTAGTTATAAGCATTGTTCAAGATGTAAAAACGAACTGTTAACGTAATTTTATACAATGTCAAATGACCAAGATTGTCCTTCCTTCAATAAGTTATTGAACTCAGATGCAAGATCACCATAGCTCTCATATGTGGTAGGAATTTCTAAACAAGGTCCACATGTATGAGCAATAGGTCGTCTTTGGAGTCCACTTAGATTTGAAAAGTTACTTCTATCGATGTGCAAGTAATACAGTCGCTTCCAGTGATGAAATGGAGAAATCTCTCGATAGCTTTACCTTCTAACGACCGAATGTACCTTTTCAAATGATCTATTGTAAGGCGCTCTATTTCATTTCCGGTTTCGGCGTTAATCAATTTTATTAATTTTTTGGCCGTAGGTTGCCTACTGGTATAAAGTTGAAGAATGTCTTCTTGTGTTTTAAAATGTCATCGTATTGGAGCATTCTTAAAACTGGAGACCAGCAGTGAATTATGTACCGTGGCTTTTGAAGAAGTTCTTGGTGAGCCAACTCGAACATAATCTCCTTGATGTTATCTTTCGTCGGAAGTTTAAAACACTTGAACATTGAGAGAAAGTCAAGAATGTCTTCGTCTTCGAGGTCACAATTTTCGTTCATGCAATTATCAAAACTCGGCGATCTTCAAGAGTCACGTAGTCACGAAAGGAATTCAGCAACAACTCTCTACTTAAATTGTCCTCTCCGAATAAGCATGTACATAGCAGTGCCGGTGATATTTTCATAGGAAAGTATTTCAGCAGGTTGTAACCGTAGACAATAACTCTAGCAATAGACTGCCAATCATTTTTGCATGTCGTGCCTAATCATAGGAATCTTATCGCTGGAGCCGAAACAGTAGGTGTTGTATACCTCATGCCAAAATGTGTCAAAACATCCAGCATTACTCCTTTTCCTTTCCTTTTCTTCCCTGCCACTGTAATCAATCACGGTGGGGCAAACCAAACAATTAAGCACATCTGCATCATTAAAAATGGCTATGACATCTTGACGTATTGTAGTTCTGTGCACAATAACAGCTCTTACTTCTCTGTTCTCAGCTGGCAAAGACAGGAATGGAGTATCTATCAATGCGGAAAAAACACCTGCAGAAAAAAATTCAATTGCAATTCAGACAAAGACAATATACCAGTATTTTCAAATCATATTACCAAGATCTATGAATTGATAATCTAAATTAGAACAAGGCCATAAGATGAGAACCTGCTTCGTTCAAAAGAGTAAGATCATCAGTTTCAAGGAGTGTGCTAGTTTGAGTTGAGGAGCCAGTTGCAGACAGTGAACCAGTTTCAGCCACACCATCAGTTGCAACCACACCATCAGTTTCAGCCACACCATCAGTTGCAACCACACCATCAGTTTCAGCCACACCATCAGTTGCAGGCACAATATCAGTAGTAGGCACAGAATGAATTTCACTGGTTTCAGATATGCTTATATCATCATCATCCAAAGGTTCATCTATTCCTATATAACATATTTTTTAACAAATTCTTGCAAAACTATTGCAATGCATAACAATTTGCATATCATTATAAGCATATTCATTTGAATCGATTGCTTTTCTTTACCTTATAAAGAATAAAAATTCTGAGTGACTAAAATCTTGTGAAAATGAATGCAGACTACAATAATTAAATTAAACTATTTTAAAAGCTAAGTGCCCAAATGAGAGCTGTCTTATCTGAATTCATATGAATAATTTAATCAAGGTGAACAATAGTCATGACTTAAGTTTCTTAATTCTGAAAATTTATATAGATTTGCTAAAAGAAAGAATATAAAATGATATACCTCGACATATTACTGTCACAAAAACAATTGTAAAAAAAGTTTGTTTGAATTTAAAAAAATACTTTTTACATTATTTTAGTGTACAATCACTTGATCCTCTCTTATGACAAATGTGGAAAGATCCCTTGCTTTTACCCAATCTATGTATTTTACCTTCACTAGAATTGCTGCCTGGTTCCTGTAAATGAACAACATATCAGTTTTTAAAAGCACACTATTTACATGATGAGCATGTAGCAATCTAATTCTCCAACCTTTGTTGCATTTCCCATGTTAAGCAGCTGAACACTAGGTCGTACATACACTGGCTTTTGTGCGTATAATCTGTGGAGGATAACACCATCCAATGTCTGACCAGGGGCTAATGTTGGCGCAACCAGAGTGGAATGTACCGATGTTAACAGTTCTATATCTGTACCATGCGGAATTTTTCCATCAAAGGCCATCATTATATTAGTTTCGACAGCAGCGGCTGACAAATCTTTTGAAAACCGACAACCTGAAATCATGTGTCCATTTTCTACCAACATCAGCCGAGTGCCTTGCCGTGGAACTGTATTATCTTTGGGGCCGCTTAATAGGATTAAATCTCTCAAAATGGCCTGTTATCAATTGCTGTTGATGAACGAGTTCGCCTTGTTCGGCTTCTTGCAGCAGGTCTACTTGCGGGAAAATAGCGCCTCGATTGAAATGCAGTGGATGAATTCCTTCTAATTGGGAGGCGATTCTCTATTGTGGCTGTTGATGCCATTTGATTAGGGTGATGCGTTAATTCTCTCTGGCGACTCGTTTCAGCATTTGGTAAATTCGTATGCCGTCCAAATATAGTTCTCACTTCTGACCTTACAGAACTGTCCACGTCAGGTGATATTCTTTCAGACAGCTCTGTAACTCTGCCAAGAAGTTCCTGAATAATTTCTCTATTGCTCATTTCTGTCATTTAGGTGAGAGCGATACAGTATAGATAGAAAATACAAAGTTCCCAACCCGCCGAAATTTTGCATATAATTAATAACTGCTTTTGAAACAAACACGTGTTCTTTAACCCAATACTTCATGTTGTTAGAGGAAAACTCGCGATATAAACTCGTCATATGAAACTCGTCATATAAAACTCGTCATATGAAACTCGTCATATAAAACTCGTCTTATAAATCTCGTCATATGAAACTCGTCATATAAAACTCGTCTTATAAATCTCGTCACAGTTTATAAAACAACTCGTCATATAAATCTCGTCATACACTACTCGTACCGCTTTACGAATCTCGAATAGACTTATAGTAATTCTAATACGACATATAAATCTCGATACACTTTTGGTAGGTTTGGCTTGCCATATTAAAGTTTACATGCAATACTCAGTCAGTTGTCTAGTACTCAATTTAAGTTCAGCCACCAGCCACAGGGGGGGGGGGTGAATGATAAAAATAATTTTTCAAGCGGAAGTTTTTCACCCAAGGTTTCCTTGTGGCATCCTTGTTTTTGATACCAATGCCCAGACCCCTTTTCCACTCCAAGTAATTTAATAGAACTCTATGGTTTAAACTGCGTGAACGCAATTGTATAATCACTACGCGATAACTAACCTTTCTTGTAGTTTTTGCTTTGCACGATAGAACTCCTCTTCATTCATCATGCCAGCATTAAGATTAGCGAAAGGATGTCTGGTTGGGGGCAACATGGCTGAATGAGCGATATGGTGACCGAACGGTGTTGGAATAGCAGGAACCGTTAGATGTACCAGCGATGTATGATGGAAGGAAGGAGCAGACACTATGAAGGTTGGTCGATGAAGAGGTGTAGCTACATGCATGGGAACTGCCATGGGCTGGAGAATGCCTTCAGACCTGGTAAATTTCAAAGGGCAGGTTCACTCTTCTAATACTATCTTCATCAAAAGTAAACTAATGTGAAAGTGTTAACTGCACATGACTTGTTTTGGTTTTTATTAATGCTGATAGATCTCAAAAATTGATTAAAAAACTCCCAAATTTGTTTTGGGTAAAATGTGTATTAGCAAAGTTATAACGGCTAGAACAAAGATTTTAGAAGAAAAGCAGCGTAAACGTGGAGACTGGAAGAAAAAAAAACAAAGAAAAGGAAATTATGTAGTTTTTATTGCAATACACTTATCTTGTACATGCATAGGGTTTAAACAGATACAAGCAAGGCAACAGCTCTATGACAACGCATAATTTGCAATATAATTTTTATGTAACTAATAATATTATCTTGTGTATAATATCTGTTGAAAGCGACCAAGGACTTTGGGTGCGCTATCTTTTCTAATTCTGTACTTATGCTTATATTGTTTATGGAAATTTTTTTGCATGTAGAAGTTGTTCACTAACTTCATGACGATTGTCTGAATCAATAAAAACTTAGATCAAGTGTCTTGATCAGGAGTGAAAGGAGTGTCTTGAATTTGAGAACTTATCAACAAACCTTTGCAAGCGCGGATCAATCATCGTAGCTTGAGTAGGTGGAACCACTCCAGGCGGTAACATTGTGACTGGGGCAGAAGTGACTGTTAAAGACAAAAATATTATTTCCAATCCTCACAACTCAAGGGTATACACATATGCACAGTTCTGTTAAACATCGCGATAAAAATATGCATACCTTTAGCTACAGTTACTGTGAGCTGCGAAACTGTCAGAGGTGTAGAAGTGCCCGAAGCAGCCTTCTTGGTTTCATCCAACACACGCACAGCGGAAGCTTCTGCATTGGGAGCTGTAACAGGCGTTGATCTGTATAAACAAAAACAATGTGAGAACATTATTTAATTTGTTTATTGCCTTAATAAGAACATATTCCACATCAAATTAAAAGCCAACAACTAAGAATAATCAAAGTTATCAATAATAGTGTAAATGTGTCAATCTTGATATTATGCAAAAAAAATTGGACAAGAGGCAAGGTTTTATACGCTAGACTCGCCTTCAACGAATTGTTGAAATGATTACTTATCACATCGGTGTAGTTGTACAATTGTATAGTATTGTCTCGGGGTTTCTTCGTATGTAAGCATGCGTTCGATTTATCGGTTAAGTGAACAAAGTGTCATATTGTGGTAATAATGGATTACTTCATGGGCAGTGAGTGCGTAAGATTTTTGTGCAGAAGGATTGAAAATTACGAGTATTGAATTTTAGCTTATAGTGACATTTGTCACTGAAGTGATAGACACAATTCAAACGCTTCAAAACAATAACTTAATTTTGTTAAAAAAAAATACAATAACACAAATAAATTGTTCATTGGGACATACCAGAGCCCTCAATTTCTTGGGACAATGGATTTGGGGCGAGGGCGGAGCCGCTATTTTAGTTCCTACTTGCAAGTTAAACTTATAATGAAACTGTGTGAAATTGGCTAAATGAGCACAATAATGAAACAATTCCGCCTTGTTTAATGGAAATTTTAAATATATCGGAATCCACAATCAAGCTTTTGGCATTTTTGTAAATAATTACTGCAAACCAAACTCAATTTTATGCGTTTGCGGTTGACTAGTTCGTGCTTTGAAACTAATCATGACCCACTGCTAGGTGTTTTTACGTATGTGAACGTATATTCTGGCAGTTTTCAACAACAGCGATAACAAAAATACTCGACATTTTAGTTGCATATTCGTGGCCAGGAAACATGTTACTACACATACGTCCAGATCTGAATCAATGCTTTGGCAGGTATAGGGTAAGTCAAAATAAATCACTGCAGCTCATTTCTGGTTACATTTACATTTATTCTTTAGAAATAATATATTACAAAATATATTCTTTAGAAATTCATCCCTAATAATCCTATTCTAAAACTAAAAACTATTTTGAATTGACAATTGAGCTGCTATAACTTATTTTGACTTAAACTGTGCCTGCCATTGAATCAGTGTTGTCAATAGTTGGACAAAGTTTAGTTTTGAAGCACTGTAGTCATGAAATTTTGCTTAGTTAGTACAAATTTGGCAATGTGATCCAGGCATGAAAACCTAATGCAGACAGATAACAAAGGTTTTTTTGCTGTAAAATTATGGACTTAAAATATTTGTTGGATGCAGTAGTTCTTTAATATTCTATTAATCTAATGTGAAGTTGTTGATTTCTTTATTGATTGTGAAACTGTGATTATAGTTAAAATTTAATTCTAATGCAGAACGGTATAGGCTTCTATTTGGTGATGCATTTGTTTAAAGGGAAATTACTTTTTGTGCATTATAAAACAATTCTGTTGTTTTAGAACAGTCTTTTTTCCTACAAATGTTACTGTTTGTACAAACTTTGATAAAGCATATGAGTCTGATCCAATTTTTTATTCAAGCTTATAAAATTAATAAGTTGGTTAACGACAAAACTTCTGCATTTTTTCCCAAATTATAAAGACGAAAGACCACACCAAGTCAGTGATTATTTAAAGACCAGACCAAATCATTGATAAGCCAATTGAACATGCTCTGGTTAAAAGTACAGAGAGCAATGTATATTTCATTCCAAGTAATGTATTTTACCAAGCTGTTCTTCCTCCGTTTTTTCTTTCAAATAACAACATATATTTCATATTATTATTACTCAAAACTTGCTTGAAAGCAAATACTTCTTACGTTACAAGTGATGGCAAGAATATAGTGAACAGAGCAATTTGTAAACGCGATTGAAAATGTTGTAATGGACTATTTGCAAGTATAATAAACATTTGTAAATATTACAGGTAAAAACACATAGGTGCTGGTGTGTAGTATTTCTAAACTAGATGTTACTATCGCAAGGGGAAGTTCTGCCCTTTCCCCCTTGTCAGTAAAAATTTACAAGGTACGGTCGGACCACTCAGTGCCATATCTTGGTGAACAGCAATCTAGGTGGTTTCATAGGTACGTTTTCATTGGGTTATTTGAATGATTGAGTAATTTTACATGCGAGCCCCTATAACTTTTAAGATTGCATTGACAAGGAATATTTCGACAAGTTTAAAGCTTTCTTTGTATCTAATCAACGTGCCATTCGCAGTTTAATGCACTGTTGACCTTATATGGAGCGAGTGCTCCTGTGCTCAGTGGAAACAAAAGCACGCGTTCTGAAAGCCGACAGACAGCTTCCAGCATAAATATCTCTCATGTTTAACGTCTTTTTTCATTTCACATTTCAAATAACTTAAAAGATGAAATCATTACCATTTCGAATGAAAACAATTTTTGCATAAGATGTATATTTATATCTCCAAAAATTTTCCTTTAAAATGCTATTTGAGGAGTATGATACTTTGTTCACTCAACGGATAAATCGAACGCATGTTAACACACGTAAAAACAGACAATACTATACAGCTGTAGTTTTACTTCCACAATCTTTAAAACATTTGATCGGACCTTATTCCCGATGATTCTCAGCGACTGACATTAAATGTTTAAGTTTTGAAGGCGGATCGAGTCCCACAAAATCATTGCTAAACTTGCACCATGCGTTTATTTCTCTGTTAAATCCACACAGAAAGAGGAGCACTGTTATCAGAGTGCAAAAAAAACAATGTGAAAAGAACAAGCTAAATACGGCACGTTGATTCAATTTCATGTGTTTTTCGCCAAATGAGGTATGTACTTATAATTGATGTCGGTGATCACTCGGGCAAATTTAGTATATACTGTATTACGTTGGTTAGGTCGCTTATCTATTCGGATTTCAGACTTTTTAGAATCAAACTTAACTTGTACATAAGTTCCGAAAGGTTCTACTTCACTGAGAATAATCGCTTCTCCTCATTCCGTAAAATCATCCCCCTCCTCGTCCCAGAATTGTCAACAGGCAGACTGACACAAATCGAGATTTCACCAGTATATAGGTCGCGCAGGGAAATGGGTTGAGACATGTCAAGAAAAGTGTGCTGCCACGCTGGAGCGCGTTTGAAAAAACAGGTACGTGCGTACACGTGGGTAGCCAATCAAGTATGTGGCCATAAAGTTAAGTACATAAACTCAACTCAAATAATATTATATATTAAATAATACTTGCACCTAACTTGTTAGAGATTTAATAAAGTGATATGTGCTCACTGAATTGTCAAATAGCCAGGACAAGCAGACAATTTTAAGTAGAACAAAATAAAACAAATTCCGAATACAGACATCTCCTTTCTTGATATTCAAGATGATACAAGAGTGTAAACACAGTGTGTGTAATATTTCGTCTTTATTCCAAAGACATCATCAGACTAATAGTTTACAAAGCAAGCTGTGAAACTTTTGTATAATTATTTACAAGCAGAAGTGACAGTTACGCAATTGAGAGAGGTGCAAGACTGAACAATTAAGGGGAATAGTCACATTTAAAATAGAGATAATTTCTTACAGGCCAATATTAAGTTGTGGCATATTGCGTTTTATGAAAAGAATTATTATAATCACAGCGATATAAGATTTTGGTGTTACTTGGAATTAGATTACAAGAATTAAATGGTACGCGTGTGAGATCAGGGTCGGAGTCAACGTCAGGAAGTGAAAAGAGGTGTAAGATGTAGCTGGCGTCTGGACAAATGAGTAAATGTTGCGAGATAGCACTAGAATTATTGTAATTAGCATGTTGGGTTAAGTCTTGTGATCAGGTTTCGTTCAGTTTTGCCTGTGTACGTTTGACCACAACCAGGACATTTAAACTCATATGTAACATTCGCTTTAGAGAATTTTGTCCTTATCGAGACAGAAAATTGATGTCTTTCTTGTTTGATATATAAGTATAGGTTTGACGGGGATTTTTAAAGTAGTTATGCAACGAATTTTTCACTAGGCTTTAAATGAGGCTTTTTTTATAAAAGTTACTTTTCTGATTAGAATTCTGAAAACAGAATTAAAATTGGTCTTTTCAAACTGTTTCTACAGTCGCCTAAAGTTGCGATTTTTGTCAATTTTTGTGCGAACTTTTGACATTGGCGATGACGTACAAACACGTACCGCCTTTAGACACGGCGCATAGAATTAATAACGACGAACAGCGATGGAGTGGAGAATGTTGTGTTACCGGCAGTTTGAACTTAATCCGTTGCGATAATACTCCACAAAGAAAATAATAGCTATCGGCGAATTTCACGCAGAAGATTGAAAACCAAACACTCACCTGGTTTGCCTAGATATGGTATTATAATGAAAATTTTAAGAAGGTCATTGTCAGTATTTTGTTTGGCAGGGTTATTTTTAGCTGAAACTTTGGTTTTGAGTTTATGAATCAAGAATTACTGAACGAGGGAAACCATTGCATGACATGAAATAACGTCAATTGACTATGGAAATTACGGAATATGACAAGTGTCGTGAAAAGTACCATTCTAATCTATATTGCATTTATCAAACGCCCTTCCTTAGATTGCATGTCACGTGACTGTACTCACATCGTGCGCTCAGATTCATTGTCATAATGATAATATTACACGCACTACGCACTACAAAATCAATAAACTGCCGTAAACTTTCGATAAAAAAGCACAAATGAGCAATCGAGATACTATAAAATAAGACCAAAATATGTCAAGTTTAATTACTTGAGGGGCGACATTGTAATTAAACTTAATTTAGCAAACAAAGTTTGATCTTGTTTCGCCGAAAAATTTTGCTCAGATGAATAATGAGAAAACAATGTGTAATAGTTCAGATATCGAAACAGCATGCGATATTTTCATATTTTCCCGAGAGAACAGAGAATATACAAAGCAGCATTGTTCGTCGTCTCCTGCAAGTCCGACTATTTCCGAGGATAACGACGGACAGTGTAGAATAGTAGTTAGCCGCGCATGCTCAGCCGCTACCCCCAAAAAACAACAGTTAGGAAATATCGCTATTTCCACCAAACGTTTTGGCAAATATCGCTATTTCCACCAATTTTTGGCTCTTGCGAAACAGCGTTAACTGTTCAGTTTTTTGATACACCCTGTATAATGACTGACAACAAACAACCGTCACTTGGCTCATATTTTAGTCACAAAAATGCCTATTGGTTCCACTTTATAAGAGCCCTTACGCAGGAGCCCGTGATCCTTTATTATAGAATCAATATATTGGTAATATTACATAATACACATGGAATTAAACTTACTTTCCCTGCTCTTCATCTCTGTGTCCATTTGGTAAAGACATGGTTGTACCCAATCCTCCCGCCTCAAATCCTGAAGACTGGATCTTAATAATTGCCTAAAGTAGAGCAAAACGGCTTTAGTGAAAAAATCACACTTATCGAGAACCGTGAAATATCGACAATTGTGGAGAGATTCACTCACGCATGTTCTATTAGCTCCTATTGAAATTACTTCGGATAACGAATTATAACATAAAAATATATGAATATGAGAACAGCCCCCTCCCCCCATTATCAATCTTCTGCAAGGTTTCTTTGATAAATGTTTTTCTTTCCTTTGTGGCGAGGAAGTAGGCCCAAAAACGAACAATCTAACATTTTGTTTCACTGCATTTCTAAGAAACAGTTATTTATACTGATACTTTTTTCTTTCTGCAGCCACTTACAAAAAACCCAATAGATTTAAAAAACACAATGTCTATGGCGCTATTCCAAAAACTTTTATCACCAAATGTCGGGAGCTTACCTGTCTTAGGTGCTTGTTGACAACAATGGAGGCAGGAAATACTTCTTCCGAGTGACATGATAAACACACGTGATCGTTTTCTAATAAATATTTCTCTATACCTAAACATAGCATGACAAATGAAGACAATAAGACAACAACATATGCAGAAGAATATTTCAGGGGCAAAATTTGGGGCAAATACTAAGTACTGTTAATTTTGCTACCTTTTAAGATTGCAGCTTGCCACACTTATTACAACAGAATTTCGGGAGAATCTAGTTCTTAGTTCTAATGGGTGAACATCGAGACACATCATCTCAGCTAGAAAGAATCGAATGGCAATGACTGAGTACGGTGTGCAAAATACTTATGAAGCAAAAGTACTTGATTTTTGCAATGCAGTTGAAATGAGTCATCTCCAGTATTGACGTATTGACAGTGCATAAAAATACAAATCTATGACGCTTTCTCACGAAGCTTTTAACATATATACACTAACAACCAAACCTTAGCAAACAAATGCAACCACACAATATCATATTACTTTACTTCCTCTTCAACATTCCATCAAACTTAGTACGTAGTCTACCAGTTGCAGTTACACGTTACTTATGATAAATTCATCATATCATATTTCGTATTATATTTTTTATTCAACACTGTAAATAACAAGGTACAAGCTGCTCAAAAGATCTCTTTCTATTATAAAAATGTTTACTATGAATTTGTCGTTTGTCTGAAATGTCCAAACTCCTCACTCTTTAAAGAGGTGACTTACAGTTATCGCAGAAGCTCTCCCCACAACAAGGAACAACAACTGCATTCTTCATAATATTCTTACACAATGGACAGAAATACTCGGGTGGAACGGGTTTCTCGTTTTTTGCTTGACTGGTAATGGCCGCCGGTCGTTTCTTTAACGCCGCTTGTTCGTACGCAATGCTAAATAAATTTGAAAAGTTGAAGTTCAGAAATGATTCAAACTCGCCTCCTACATCAAGCCACAATCGAAGAAGTATACTGATGTTGAAACACGAGTCTTTAAATACTTTGTCAAGTGCTACAACATGCGGAAGATAGCTTATGATAAAAATCCAGTCATTTTTTACTCCAGTCTACTCGAGTGTCTTCATCTCAAAAAATGTTAGAATAAAACTTTACTTCTCGTATACTCCAGTCTGGCATCTTCGTAAAAATTGAGTCATAACACTACTTTCTAGTAATGCTAGATAGAACAACTAGTTTTCAAAGCTTTAATAAATGGATTAAGGCAGTGGTGGATCAATGTTGATTTTACAGGAGAGCTGCAAATTATTCAAGGGGGTGCATCGTTACCCAAGCTAAAGTTGCAAAGGCCCCGGGCTACTGTGAATTTTTAGGCTTACATAAAAGTGAACTTTGCGTAATGAAAGTGCTGTTAGCTTTTTAAAAAATTTGAAATGAAAGCGCGTTTAGTAATTTGTTTCAATTTTAATGTTTGAATGAAACCCGCAGGATATTTGTCACTTGCAAATGGTGATAGTTTAAAATACGTAATTGGCTTTGAAATGATAAATGTACAATTCCATTGCCTCTAATACTGCTATATTAATCGTACGTGATACCCCTACTGTACGTGATACCCCTTTAGAAATTTCAGAGTTGATGCTAGAGAATTTAGGGGGCTGGGGATGCCCACCCCTCACCACCAGAAAATCTGCCCCTAAATTAAAGACACGCAACCCTTGAAAGTAAAACTTACTGGTCAACAATCGGTACAGCATGTTCTCCAGTTTCAGGCACCAACAAAGCTCCTTTCTGACCAGGCTTTTCAGCGGGACGAAGAAAGCTCTTAGGGATTCCAGTTGTTCGTCGTATCTTTAGGTCATAATTTGGATCCTGTAAACGAGATACAACATTAAAAAACAAGCGGTAAAGAGCGGACACTAACAACGTCACGACCGACAGCTTAAACGTAACAAGAGAGATTGGAACATAATATACAGCACGAAATAGAGCAATATAAAATATTGCGAGTGACGTCATAGACAGCAGCCGCAACGTCACAAGTGAGGGTAAATTCATTAGTGCAAGACTAAACAATGGGTTGTTAAAGAAGGCTGATGAGGTATAACGAAAGCTATAACCTTTTTTTGAGTTATTTCTAGTAGGACCACACTGGTTGAGCTGTTTACTTGACGAACAATTATGCATAACCAGAACGTGGGTTGGGGATGGGGGAGAATTATATATGCTAGGTTAATCCAATGTAATATGTAATGCCATTGCCCAATGATGACAAATGAATATAAATCGTGAACAAAACATAAACTCACGTTATTCTTGGGACAGTTTTGAATCCAGTGTCCAGGTTTGCGACATCGAAAGCACATATAGTTTTGCGGTGGAGGTTGACGGGGAGCTGGATTAAAATGTCGACCTTTTGCTTTTGCATAGCTATAGAAAAAATATTCATAATTACATCGAATATAATTATAATAAATATTATGATTAATTAAAATTATATAATTATATCATTATAATTAAATATGAGAGCGATTAATAATATCGCAGTTAACTAAATTGGGTCATATTGGAGAGACAATGCCGCAAATGTGAACAAGCTATATAGCCATTTTGTATACCATACAGGAAGTATACGACACAGTTCGTAAGTTATGAATAAGTTGATCAGTCTGCAAAAAATAGAAATTTTGATTTTGGCGCAGGCCAATTCGAAAGTCCTTTTCGGTATGACAATTCCCACTCTAAAAATCGTTATTTTTTGCGAGAAATTTAAAGTCAGATGAACCATAGGAAGTCCAACTACTTATTTCAACAAAAGGCGTTTTGTAAACAATACGCGCTAGTCAATTTACTAACATTTTCCTAACTGTCTATTTTTCAAACACCCTGTATATAAGCATTAACGAAGTGTAAATGTTGGTTTGATCATAAATACAATGGTCGTTTTAATTTTGCAAAACTCGCTAAAAACATTGCAACGTCCCGGCTATGTCATGAAAACAGTTCCAATGGCCTTAATGAGCAACCAATAGGCCGTCGCAGTTTAACAGACCTGTTTCTACACCACATGAACACAGGATAGAAAACGAGGAATTCGTGTTGTTCTCGTAAGCAGAATTGGTTATGGAAAACAAATATGCTCTATTACTACGAAAACTTCATTATGACATTTAAAAAAAAAGAACGTACGATGATGGATCCCGGTCTTCTCTAGCTTGATTCATCATCGCAGCAATCTTGTCTTCTTCGGAAGCATTTGCTGACGCCAAATCTGCGACCTGTAGAAGCACACACATTAGTACATGAATATAAGAAAAATCCAACAAGGTTTAAAGTCTCACTGCCAAATGCACACATGTGATCGAAAAACAATACCAGACCTTTACTAAAGGACAATACAATGGCACAACATGGGAAACAAACAAGCGAGAACAATGGTCAAGGAAACTCGTGAAGGAAAGTAATAAAGGAAAGCCTGCAAATAAGCTTCCTTCTCAAATTGAAAATGAAGTTGTATGATACTAATAAAGGTAAAACTAAATGTTGTAAGTTAATTGCCTTTGCTCACTGAGAAGGAGTGAGTTGTAATCTTGAATATGCAACTCTTATTGCTATTGTTTACAATACGAGTCTCCTTCGCAATGACGTGGCCAGCCTCTTAGTTGTTATGTAAATATTTCGACGTAGCTTCATTAAAATTTATCAAGCACGACCATACTTGCATAGTCACTGCTCCCCTCCTTTACGACTTCCATGTAAGTAATACTCTATGTGGAGAAAAATTTTCTTAGCAATTTTCTTTTGCACAATGAACTAAAACTACCAATGACGAACCAGCGCGTATAGGTGGAGTCACTTTCTCTACAGTAAACCACTAACCTTGTTAAGCTTGCTCAATGGCACAACTGGTGGGTCGTCTGAGCTCTCGGTCTTCTCAAAGTGAATGAACAATAAGTATGTTTGCAAGTACAAAAATGCAATTAAAAAGGCACGAGAATTGTGCACAATCGAAGATGGTCAACCCTTCGTAAAGACTTTCAATCAATTTCTAATAATGCGGAATAGAAAAATTGGTCAGCCTTTTCAGGATGTAGAAATCCGAAAATTCCTATGTTTTTAGAATTTGTTAAAATAGTGAAAATCAGTAAAAATTGCTGATTGGAAGGGTTGACCAACTACATAAAGAACTAAAACAACATTAGAGTGACAGTGCAACTGTAACGGAAGACAAACGAAATTGAATAATGTTCATAATGATGTTTCCCTAAATAAAAGAAAAACACACTAATTGTGTTACTAAAGCGTGTGAAATTATTGCAACCTAGGCTAAGCTAAATCGTTTATTATCTAATGTTGTTCAGAGTAACAACAGTGTGGTGTAAGTACTGCTTATCTGTACCATGGAACATCTAAACAACACTTATTTTCAATCTACCATCAACAGTTTCCCAAAAGGCTGTCGAACTACTACCATTTTTTACTTACGAAGAATTAATAGGTTTAGTTGCGATTGTTAACGTCAACAATTTTTAGAAAAGTTTTTGCCATTATTCAAGCCATTTATCAATGCTCTTGAATATTGTCAAAGTAAACCAACTCTTAACTAATTGACTCACGGATACTCCGTAGGGGTATTTGTAAGTCATATGTATTACTCTGGCTTTTTGTTTACCTCGAGCCTGCTTTGCACGCCTAGAAACCGGTATAACCGTTATAGAATGGCGACTATTAAGATTTCTCAAGACCCGGTCAAACTGGATACTGATTTGCACGCTTTTTATTATGGAAGTACATTTCATTTTCATTTTATCAAAATATAACTGTTCTAATTGCTTGACCGCCTCGTACACTGAATGGTTTCTGAAACGTTTTTTTTTCTACATATTCTTTATTCACAACACAAATCATGACTAAAGCAAAACCCGTGCAGTCCTGCACGTCAACTGTCAACAAATTTAATCGAAAAGGATATAATCACCGTAGCAGAACCGTACAACTTTAGCAGTGAGATATGAGTAAGTTATTATAACCGAGCAACGAAATTAACGTCTAATTTTTCTTTAGCAGTTTTCGTCAACGTACGTTGCTTTAAATTATTTGTTAGTATGTATCCCCCTGTGTATCCGTGATTGGTCTCATCAAGACCTTTGATTTTCAAAAAAGACAACACTCCTATATATCCTCAAACGTATCAAAACTTTAACTTCACATGTTTTCGACCTTTCCCGTTCTAGAAGTTTGTAATAATAGCTTGCGTTCAATGTACGAATGACATGTTGATAATATGAAGAATGTGTGTCAACCGAGATGCATTGCACGTTAAGCAGAGCGCCATGGCCATTTTGTGGGTGGAGAAAATGGCAGAATTCGTTGTTGCAGTCCATGCAACGATAATAATTAATGTAGAAGAGTTTTTAATGAATGCTTTTTTGCTTATTTCCAGATAAATTAGAGGAGGTAGTGACGAAACTGAATTCAGTGTACCGCAAACTTAAAAATAACGATGTAAGCATAAACAATAGCGCGCAATGCACCTTGCTTGACACACATTTTTTTAAGGGCGTGCTTTCATTTGAGGTAAAAACCATCAAGACGGTGAATTGAAAATCAGTTTGAATTATTAGTCGAACTTATTGAAATTGAGATTGTCACAAACGGCTTAGTAAGGGATTTTGCGGCAAGAGAAAAAGAAACTTGAGAGAACATGAAATAAAAGAGAGCCATCAACGATAAAAGACGGTATGACTCGATATAAGTCAATAAGGTAGCCAGGCGCCATCTTCATGTTAAAAATAACAACAATCATATAAACAGCAGACCTTTTCAAATTCTAAAGCAATAATTATTGAATAAGCAAACCAACAGAACAGATATTAAAAAAGAATTCTTAAAAAACACAATTTAATCATCGATAGAATGATTGTAGTTGCTCAATATTTAACAACAAATGCGTTATCCCTGATGATTAATCTGATGACTTAATTAAGTTTGCAAATAAGCATCCCTTCATAGAGATTCAGTTGTTTTATGCAGTTGACAATCGACATGCAGAAATTTAAAATTTTCCTTTTTCCATTTGTATCATTGTAATTTTCTTAACCAGAAGATACTACAGATACTCAATTATATCGTTTTATAGTGTCTTTTATAGATGATGGTTCTCGATTACCTCAAATAATTATGTGCAACGTTTTAGCGTACAATCTAGAGAGTACTAATTATTGCTAATTTTTACAGATTTCAAGAAAGAGTTTCAAGTCAAAGAGCAATTATCTAACTGGCGCGCAAGAAATAACTTTAATATCTCAACATTTTATAAATGCATAAGATATAACAGCACGGATACTCCAAGCTTTTCTGTCGTTTACAATGTTCATACTAATATTATCACTGCTAACACCAGAGAGGTGAAAACATTATCTCAGTATCCCTAACTATTGACCATGAAGACCTTCTGTAACCCTCAAAAACCTCTTTCCCTAATTCTATATTTTGATGTCGACAGCTCGTAAGTTTGAAGTATATAACAATTCATTATAGGAAATTCTTTACAGTTAATCAACCAGTGCATGACAAACAGTGCCCATATATGGATACTCATGTGCCATTTTAAAATCACTTTCACGACGTTTTTACCGACGCATCAAAGTTTGCATAATTACTGAAAGGTGGTGAAAAGTATTTTAGTAATTGAAAAAAGCCCTGGCTGTTTCGATTTGGAAAACTCCATCAAACAAGAAGGTGCATAAGCCAAAGCTAGCTAATACTCAGCACTTTAAATGACCTAATACACGCCCGGGGCGCTTAAAAATTCTAGCAGTTTTTGGGTTGACGTTAAGAAATACTAGGAGTTTAAAAGAGTGTTGTCTAATGTCAACAAATGATAACAATTCTAAGACTAAATGCCGTTTCTGAGCCCAATTAACCACTTAATTTTAATATTATTATCAAAATAGTAATGTCACAAGGAGCATCTATTACACAGGGCGCGTTTATTACAGAGAAACGTCTAAAACTGACCAACGCTTGAATGAGGCATTTATGAGATACGAGGCGTTTTGTTGATGGAGGCGACTATCGGATAGTTTACAGTAAACAGCTTTGACATTGAATTTATGATTATTATTTTGGCCAGTCCAAAAAATGAAGCTTGCACAAATTTAGCAATCCCAATACGCAAAGCAATGTATGTTGGAAGTAGGTCCAATTTATGAGGGCAAAAGTGCTTTCCAGTTAAGTATATTGAGGTCCAATATACTAAACATTACAAAATTTGGGTCATTTTTTAGCAACACCATTAAGAAGACAGTTTCTCGTTCATAGACATTGATCCAACAAAACAAAACCTCTTGCTTCTAGCCATTTCACTGTGAAATAATGCTGATACTTTGTTGTCTAATACTTCAAACAGCCATCATCAACCTTACTGGGTTATCTTAGCAAATAATTTCAGCAATCAGGCTGACAAGAACCAAAAGCAAAGTGCCTTTGTTTGTAAGTGCTATTGCACATTGTACTTTCGGCTTATAAGTTTGCTTTCAAGAATAAAAGGATTTGCTAAATTAAAAACCATGGTATGGTACAATTTGAAACATTTAAAACCGTGCAAAAATTACAATCAGTGTAGCCGAAAATTCTGTGTTTTTTTAAAAAATGACGAAAATCAACAATAGAAGATAGAATCAAGCTTTTATCATTTAAAGATGAAATAATTTTGGAGCCTCAAATACATTGGCAATGCAGCCTTAAGCACAAGATCACAAGTAATTTTAGCCATTCTCATGACAAATTTGTGAGATATTGTTAATACAACACCCCCAGATCTAGTGTGTGGTTTTCAAAGAAATGGGTTTGCATAACAATGAAATATGCATGTAGACACACACACACACAAACACTCAAAAAGCAAAATCAATTTATTCCGACCAAGTTGCTCACACAACAAGGTGCAGCAAAACATAGAAAACTTGAAAATAAAATGTTTATTAAAAAAGAACAATCTTTGTACAACAAAGCATTTGTTACAAAGAAATCAACAGAATTCCCACAAACATTGACATGAATTGTATTTCTTATATAATTGCAGGCAGAAAAATGAATAAGGGAGGTTAGGTGGAGCTAAGTTGCAGACACACTTCCGGACCTTACAAAAAAGACTACAAGTCAATATCTGTGAGAATATTTAACTATAAAATAAAACATATCACGTACTGGTTTAGATGCCTCTCCGGTCGACTGTGGTCTTTCTCTGTGATAAAATGAAAGAATTTAAATAGCAAATTTAAAATCCAAGCACATTTGCAACAAAATTACTATCATGAATACATACGCTGCAGTCATTGCCTTTTGCTTTGGTCCTGAACGAGTTCTACGGACTATCACTGAAGCATTTTTTGGTATTTGAGTGACATTATCTGTGTGTACTGTAAACACAAAAGTTTTAAACACATTAAGGAAATTGCAAGTCTACTTAAGTTTCTGTTGTTTCACAATTTTCCATAAAATACACATGATATCATAACAGATTTAAATCTTTTCCATTACACTTATATATAACCAAACACATATTGAATACAAAAAGTTCTCACTTTTTTCATAACAAGTATACTATATAATACATGGATTCAATACAAAACTAAGTTATAAAACCATGTTTACAATCAGGAAAGTATTTAATATGAACCTAATGTCACTAAAAGTTTCTGTTCACAAAACATTACATTATGTTGCATGTTTTCATGAAAATATTTAAAGCTGGCAGGAATGCAATTCATCATCATTACATAAACAAGGCATTACAATATAATTGCACAATTATATAGTGATTCAGGGGCCGGTTGTATAAAAACGTTGTTAACTTTAACTATAGTTAACGATAACTACCGTAGTTAACTCCTTAGCTGTAGTAGCTTAACTGCTCGACCTAACTGCGTTGCACAAAACGTAGTTTGTCGGATAGTTAAGTAACTGCGTAGTTAACTTGCGTGAAAATTGCGTGGAGTGTTATTTACGTAAAATGACATAAGTGTAAACAATTCATGCATAGTAATGTAGGCAAGTGAACTATAAAATGACTTCAAAATCAAGAAAAATCTCTTGGCTTATGTAAAAATCTTAAAATATGGCAAACTATTGTCGTTTTTACGGATGTTGATGATGCGAAAATAAAATTTAATAAACGATTCACGGTGACATGGTAACCGGATTAAATTGTAGCATATACTTTGGACTTTTCACAAGAAAATCGACCCTTATCTTCTGTGTAATACAGTACGATGTTGATGAATGATATGAGTCTCGGCAAGGACTGCTTTATTTCATGAACCAATTATATATAATGGACTTGGGCCAACGAAACAATGAACTGTTCTCAAAGTGATTCATATTGTGTTCTATGTGCAAGGATTTAAATATTTAAATGGCCTTGCTTTTACAGAATTAAAAACTGAGAGTTTGAGGGTAACAAAGGAAAAGGCTGTTTCGTTTCTCTTTATAACAGCTGAGTAAAATGCTTGAAATAAATGTGTTTGTACAGACATAAGTCACACATATTTGTAAAAGATGACAGTGATGGACTTTTTTATTATTAGAACACATTTCATTGAGTCCTCATAGTTAGTAGCAATGTAATCCAGCGACTGTCTTTCCTCTGATTGTGACATGTTATAATCACAGCCATACACAAAATCCTTTTTTGTTCTTAATTCTGCCTTGCAAAAAACTGAGTTATAAAAATTATAGGGTATATTTGTTAATGAGCCTTAGCTATGAAACTTTTACTTATGCCTTTGTTATTTATTAGCTTATTTTTGCCTAAAGCTTGGAAGTTTTATTCATTTTTTTTCTACTTTTTAAATCATCAAACAGTAGTTAGATCTTTATTGGCAGGCAAGATTGCATGTACATTAAAAATAAAAATTTTTACATAAGAAATACTTGATGAAATATGAATAAAACCCACTAATTGACTGTCATATATATTTTCTGCTTGTGTATTAAACCATGCGCAATGGATAATGTATATATATCAAGCAACATGGACCTTCACCATGCATGCTGATGAAATGTTTTATGTATTTAAAAAACTAACATCATTGTATCTCATGCAGCTGATACACAAAAGAGTAGTCATGAATAAAAACTGTTGTAAAGCTCATGTATCTATATGTATTATCATTGTATACTTAGAACAACATTTATACTGTAGTACCTATTTGTTTTAACATAATCTAGCTTATTTTCCATAGAGCAAAGAGCTTACGTGATGCGTATGATATTCAATCAAGCAAAATGCGTAGGGAAAAACCCGCAATTTGAATATTTGATACATCCAAGGATATAGGATTCATTGCTCGAATAACATTCTTTCTTTTTTTTCTTTTTTTGTCATTGAACAAATTGTACGCGAATGTAAGACAATGTCAGCGAGTTGTGTGCACTAATGTTAAAGAAGTGGCTCTATCTCAATTGAGAGTCTCGCTTATGAGTTGAAAGAACTACCGGACTCAAAAAAAGACAATACAAAATGCAATTGCTCTTGTGTAAAAGGGATTTGTTACGCGGATAAATTGTTGGCTGTTTTTCGTAAGCAAAACTTTGGATGTTTACATCACTGACGAATGTAGTACACCGTCCATAAAGCTTTTATTCTAAAAGCCATTGCCATGGAAGATACATATGTGATTAAAAACTCAAGGTAAAACCTTGTTGATCAACAACATCTCGCCCATAATTGTCTTTGAGAAGTTAAGCCGCCATATTTAACTATGTTTTGAAAAGTTAACTATGCTCCATACCATAGTTAACTTTAACTACCTGTTAACTGCAGTTAGCGCTAATTACTTTTCTATACAACCGACTTAACCGCCTGGTTAAATTTAACTACTTTTTAACTGCAAAAAGTGTAGTTAAAAAGTGGTTAAGAGCTTTATACAACCGGCCCCAGGATTTTAAAATTTAGCAAACATATTCAACATTTCATACACTAAGAGTTGAGACAGTCATCGCGCGAAAAGTAGACAACAGAGAAATTACCAAAGACAACATAAGTGACCAAACCTCCATTGCTATAAGTCTAGTTTTATCATAGATTAATTAAAAATCTTCGAAAAAACTGATTCTTAAACTGTTAATTCAAGTCACATCAAATGCTCTTGGAACAATATGATGCTGGCAAGGAAAACATAGATTTTCTAATTCTTTCTTTATACACAATAGATCAGTAAAATTGCAATCGAATTTCACTTGTTCAGTTTTTAAATATCTCAACATGAACACAGTTTAACCATGTTTCTCTAACCTCACTTACACACCGTATAAAGTGCCTTTAGTACATAAGTTTTGAGAAGCAAACTTTAAAATTTGATATACTTCCATAACATGTCATAACAGATTCAAAAAACAAATTCCTACGTTGAAATGAAATTAACATTTGATATCATCAAAATATCGATCCCCTACTAACTAATATAAAACTCTAGTAAGAAATTCAGCAAGTTGTGTCCTTAACATCACGACTTACGACTTCTCAGATGGGGGAGCGAAGGTTACTTATCCGGGAAGTGTGATTGTCTATTTCAGATCTTACGGTTTTTACTATGCTATATTGGCTAAGCTGTAATAAGAGATCTTTTATAAATTTCATGTTCTACGAGCTACACAAACGAATTCTCTCATATAATCAACAAACAATGAAGGAGGACGGTTGTAAAAATAATTACACTTGAAATCTTTCAAAATCACACATCATGTAACACATGGAAAATGACAAAAACAAACAAATCAGAGAAAATATATAAAATCTTAAACTTGAAGACATCCCATACCTTCTTTAGTTTGAGCATTTGCCACTTCCAAGTCGGTTTCGCTGTCTTTTGTTCTGTTTTGCGATAGAATGGCCTGCTTCAAATCGCATAGAGACATTGATAAACCGTCGAAAGAAATAGTTTTGTAATCGAGGTTGTTCTTGAATTTGTAGTGAATAAATGACATATTTCGATGTTAGAGGGTTCAGTGCAAGAAAATAGCCAAGATTTACGACAGTGCAGGTAAGTGGCACGAAGAAATAAGTCGGTCAATCAACTCGTGCGACCATTGACCACGACATTGCCAAGTTCGTGTTTCATCGTATAGGTCGAAAACATCGACATGACCAGATTAAGGAAAAATCAACCATCCTGTACGACGATTACTGAAAATGAACTTGGTTTACAAACACATGTTTAAAGGCAGTTTCAAAGGAAACTTTTTAACAAACCCTTACCCTTTCATAGCCTTACCAAATTGAACTCTTCTCTCTCTTCGCCACGTGCTATAATGTCATATAAACGTCAATGCCATGTGCTATAATGATGTCATGGATTAATGATGTCAAAAGCATTAAACTCTATAACAACTAAAAAGCCGACAATTTAAAGAAGTATAATATAAAACAAATTCCTAAGAAGCAAGACATCTTGAGATTGCAAAATATGAATCAAAACAAGACGAGAAGTAAACTGTAAATTTTCGACTTTATTTCAAAGTCATCCTCAGACAGAATGATATTTAAAACCTTACATACACATATATATTTACAACGCATGAAATAAGTAAACGGAAATAAGCAATAGAAAGTAAATAGTGTGATATTTACAAAGGCAGAGATGGAAGAGGTGTAGTATTACAAAAGGAAGAATTAAAACTGCCGACCCGACTAGTAGAATGAGTGTGTTATAAGTTAAGAAAAGAGTTGGAATTCTTTGCTAGCCTGAAGACCCGTGTTGAGAAAAGGTTTGTTATGTTTGATGAGTAGTGCTTCAAGAAAAGCAAGAATGTGGTAGTTAAAGTAAATGGTTTGAACCCGGGAGTATCGTTATATGTTTGTAAATGATGATCGTCCAGTTTAATAAAGTCCTGAGAAGGACTGTTTTTGTTGTTGTTGACTGACGTTTCGACAACCTTAGCGGTAGTCATCTTCAGAGTCAAATGAGGAGTAAACGTCAGGTTAGCCGTATTTGTTGTCTGGTTCTTACGTCATTGTATTGTGTGTACAGGAAATGTGTGGATTAATGTGAAGTGAAATATTTTATTTTTTAATTGTGATGTGTGATTTAGGTGTGACGTTTTTAGTGTGTGGGTGTCAATTATGTATTGTCATTGTGAATTAATTTGAAGTGTAATGTTTTTAGTTGATCGTTTGTTTGTATTGTGAATAAGTCGTTTGTAAGGTGCCGGTATTGCTGTGATCTGTTCAGGGGGGTTTGTTCCAAGTTGGTATACCAACTTTCTAATGTAAGCCGTTGTCTATAGTCAGTACTGTAAGTGATGCATTTTGCCGAGTCCCAGTCAATGTTGTGCTTTGTGATTCGGTGATGTTCGGCAATGTGATCAGTTTTGTCTTGTTTCTTAGTAGCTCGTTTGTGCTCAGTAAG